TCATGGGATATATTTTCTCAGATGTTGAGAGCCTTGGAATTATTTGAAAAATCATGACCTGTACCTTTGGCAATTATTGCTAAGCCTAAGACACTTTCTTTGTACAGAAAAATAGCCTCTCTTAGTCAGATTTCACATCATCTGGTAAGAATTAGGCCAAATTATATGAAAGGATAGGCATATTTTTATAAGGAGAAAAAGGATTGCTTTCGTGAATCCATATTCATGCCTTGAAGTATTCAGCATTTGATTGAATAAAGACAAATTTTCTATTGTATTTCTTTTGGGTAAGTTATATTTCAGAAATACAATTTTTTGCATATTTATTTAAAAACTCCTTCCTATAATTATTTCTATGTATACATATATAATCCAACATAAAGTGAATATATTACAATATCTCATTCAGATCACCAAAAGAAGCCTGGACGTTCTGTGTAGTGTTCTGGAATCTAGGCCAGTGCTTCTCAATGTGTTCCTCAGACTGGTGAACTTTATTTCTTTTTAATATTTTATTTATTTATTCATAAGAGACAGAGAATGAGAGAGAGAGAGAGAGAGAGAGAGAGAGAGAGAGAGGCAGAGACACAGGCAGAGGGAGAAGCAGGCTCCATGCAAGAAGTCCAATGTAGGATTCGATCCCGGGTCTCCAAGATCACACCCTGAGCAAAAGGCAGAGACTCAACTGCTCAGCCACCCATGCGTCCCACTGGTGAACTTTCTATAAACTTTTAGTTACCACGATGTGAGAGGATGATGAGCTATGCAGAATGTAAGCTGATTATGTCACTAAGTATGCTTCTGGTAAGACTGTGATTCTAAAGGTTCTTACAATAATATTTCTCATCAAAAATGGTGTTTCTCAGTATGATCTTGCCACTTCCCCATGAAGAATTCAAGTCTTTTTCTTCTCCTCTTAGATCTGGCCAGGACCTGGGATCTATTCTAAGCAACAAAAAGTGGCAGAAGTCATTCTGTATGACAACCTAGTCCAGGACTTAAAAATCTGAAGCTTCTGACTTTGACTCATCATGAAAGAGCTCTTCCCTATAACAACTGGCATATAAGAAGTGTGAATACCCTAAGACTACCATCTGTTTGTGTATGTGTGTGTGGCAGGGGAGAGCGGGGAATAAATGGTCAATACAGCCATAGTGGAGGCACATAGGAGGAGACGAGAAAAGAGGGGAGGAATGAAGAGGAGACAGATGAGAAAAGGTAAGAGAAGAGAACAAAGGAGAGTGTGGAGAGGAGAAGGAAAATAAGGACAGTGGGAGGTGAGAAGGGATAAGAGGGGGAGTGAGGGGGGAGAAGGGATTGGGGAAAGGGAGAAGAGAGAAGAAGGAAGAAGTAGAAAGAAAGGGAAAGAAAAGGAGAGATCTTATGGAAAAACACTGAGGCAGCAAACAACAAAGAATAAATGAGCAGAGTTTTCTGGAATCTTCCAAATACACCCAAATATCAATGAATATATCTGAGTGCATAATCTAAGCCCATGCCATGTGGAAAAGAAGAAATAAACAAACAATGTTTGCCTTAATTCCTGAACCACAGTCCATGAGCAGATAAGCAGGTATTGTTTTTAGTGCACACTTCTTATGTCACTCCAGAAAGCATTGGTTCTAGATTAGGGGTTTGCAAAGTTTTTCTGTGGAGAGTCATATAGTAAATATTTTAGGTATTGTGAATCATGTGGTCTCTACCACTGCAAAAGCAGTCATTCACAATACATAAACAGATTTCTGCCCTTTTAAGGGCCAAACTTGATTTTATTTAGGGTTATATACCTCTTAATCCCTCTATTTAGACAAATATTCACCTAATGCTTGCATGACCTGCTCCTTCTGAACATTCAGTTCAACTTAAATGTCATCTTTTCCAGCTAACATACTATCCCATTCCAATATTACATTATATTATTTTATTTTCTTCAAAAAACTTAAAATCACTTGACATTATCTTGTTTATGAATATATTCACAAACTTAGTTTCTTTTTCTCCTGCTAGGATTATAAAATAAATGGATCAATGCACATAGATCAATGCTAGCACAGAGTAGGTGCTCACAACTATCTTGTAAATGAATGAATGAATGAATGAATGAATCACTGAAGCTGATGTTGAACTTAAGAATTACTGCTTTGAATTTAGTTGACTATATTTACCATATAGTTCATTTACCATAATAATAATGATAAAAACAAATATATATAGTAATATAGCTTTTAAAGTTAAAATCTCATTTACATTAAGATTTTTAGGTCAGATGATGATTTTTAACCAGATGTTGTGATTATTATTTTACAAAAGAAGAAACCAAAAATCAGGTTTTATGACATGTACAATTTCATTCATCTTGAAAAAATAAGGACCTTACAGTTTTTCTAGCAATAACAGATTAAAACCAACCACAATCACAAAAGAACCTCCTCATTTCTGAAAGGCACACTCTACATTAGGTACTTAATTTTTACATTCTCAGTTATTTCTCACAATTCAATAAAGCAGGCATTTATTGGCCTCATTATTTTCTCTAATTTAGAGTGTGTCAGATTGAAGTTCAGGTATTTTAAGTAACACTCAAATTAAACAATAAGAAGAAGGCAAGACTTAATCTCACACTGTCTGATTCATAACTAGTTAGTCCCCTTTTTCCCACCATCTTTTTTTAAAGATTTTATTTATTCATGAGAGACAGAGGCAGAAACACAGGCAAAGGGAGAAGCAGGCTCCATGCAGGGAGCCCAACATGAGACTCGATTCCAGGTCCCCATAATCACGCCCTGGGCTGAAGGTGGTGCTAAACTGCTGAGCCACCCGGACTGCCCTTTTTCCCACCATCTTATTCCTAAACCCTCTGTCATTTTCACTACAATGACACACCTCTGCTCATCATCTTCTTCAAACTCAACCTGAGAATAAATAAGTATAGTTGTAGCTATATTTGAGTCTAATCTCATAGCTTTCCCACCAAGTGAAAGACAATATGACAGGGATGGAATATTTATGGATCCTTTCCTCTTATTTACTCACTAATTGTGTGTCAGGGTCAGATGAGGATTGTGTGTCTTCACTAGCCTTTGCTTTAAGTTTGAATTTTATGAACAATAAAGAAACCTAACAATTTATTTTTCCCATAACAGTAATATAAACTAAAAAAAAAAGACAATGAAAATTAACCAAATATTGATTGAAATGATTTTCTCTTCTTAGTCAACATTAGCCACCATTGAAATGGTGAGTCATGATTTCTTGATTTGGTTAAATTTTTGGTTTCATTTAATATGTCAGATATGCACACTAATGATATTAGTGTCAACTTGGGTACTATACAAATTAATTTTTGAATTTCTTGTTAAGGAATCTCCTAGAAATCGGATATCCCTGACAAAATCATTTTACTGACAGAAGAATGACAAGGCATGGTTAATGATAACATACATTATCTAGAGATTTTTTTTGGATCACAACTTTTTGGGCCATTTGTATTTGACATTACGCCCAACAGCTGAGTTGTAGAATTAGCATTTGAAAACATGCGTCTTTCTTAGGTATTACGCTGACAATATTGCCGGATGTGAGGTAGCCTCATTGATCTCTGTCCATACCAAGTGCTATATTGGGTTCATTATTTCCTTCCTTCCGTTATAAGTAAGAGCTGAGGTTACAGAAAAAGTGCACACTCGTGATCACCATGTAAAAAGAGATATTCCCCCTAGAAGCTATTAAGAATATTTTTTTCATTTATATTTGTCATCATGACAATTATAATGTAAACTGTTTCCCTCCCTCGCTGCAGGACTCAAGGGATAGATATGCTAGAAATCAATATGCTATAACAAAGAATTATTGTCATTAATAATCCCCATGGAGCAACATCTTTATGAGCCACACCAACCTGGATGCCTCACTGATCAGAGTCCCCTGTCTGCCTGTGATTTTTCCTTCTAAGATTTTATTACTGCTTTTGTCTTTCTCATAAGTCATGAGAAATCATTATTTTTCTAACCTGAAGCTATTCTCCTCCACACAATTTACATCACTAGAGTGATTTTTCATAGTCATATTTAAAGCAATTTGTGTCATTAAGTTCATTATGAGATACAAAAAGATAGCTAAATTAGTAACCAACTCCTTGATTTTAGTATCTTTTTCAGCAAAAGTGAAAAATTACTGGAAAATTCACAGTTATTGTGTGTGACTTGAAGAAAATGAATGTTTGGCATTAATTTTCATGAGATATGGATACGTTCAAACATTCAAAAAACTTATTTTATGAAAAGGCATTCAAACCTGGAATAGTATCAGAGGTAATCTGATAACATAAAAGTATGAGACAAACTGGAAAAATAGACTGTGTATAGGGAGTTGAGTTGGAGAGATGGAATAATATTTACATTATATGTTCAAGGTGTACTTAATACAAAACTCTTATTACAATGTCCATCTTACTTAAGGTATCTTTTATTTCAAATAAAAGCATTGTGGAGCACCTCAGTGGCTCAGTTAAAAAAGTATTACATCATATGCCTTCAATATGTTCTTTTTTTATTTGAAAGTTAAAATAAAACTTGGGGGAGACACCTGGGTGGCTGTCAGTTAGGCATCTGACTGTCGATTTTGGCTCAGGTCATGATTCTCAGGGTCCTGGAATTGAGCTCACATCAGGCTCCAGGCTCAGTGAGAAGTCTGCTGGAGATCCTCTTACCATCTCATCTCCTTCTGCCCCTCCGCTCACTAGCATGCTCTTTCCTAATTAATTAATTAATTTTTTAGAAAACTTAAAAAATAAAATAAAACTTGATTTGGAAAGGCTGAAATGACTATAAGCTAATTTGAATAGCTGGGTTGTATAAGAAATGCCTTTAAAATTTCCTTTTTGATGTCCTCTGCGAATTGGATTCCATTATATTTGTCTTGTTCGTTCTTCAGATGAAAAAAAATTTTAACTGATTTTCAACGAATGATTATTTCTCTTTTCCATGTCTAGAAATTCTATGCTCTCTTAGTTCCTTTTTCAATAAACTTTCCTCCTCTCCCCAGTCAGCCCCACTGGGTTCACCTTTCCAGGATCTGGAACTAGGACAGGAGTTATGTCCCTTAATGTTTCTTCACTGGGACCTCTTAATATTTAGACAAAAGCTAGTATATATTACTATGCACATGCATTTTTATGTATACGTACATCTATACATTAATTATTTTAATAAAGATTAATTTTCAGAAAATTAAAATTAATTATTGCCATATTTCATATTTATCACTCATTGCGATTTCAACACACATGGCTTCTTCATCAACAGTCTAAAAGCTCAGTGTATATCTGGTAATGGCTACTGGGATTTCAACCATAAGGTCTGAAAGAAACTAATTCTATTATAATCTGTACCATATCAACTCTGGCAAATATATCAATAAGCTAAAATAATCACAACTGATTGACCCAATTACAAAAATAAGACCTCTACAAATCTAAAGTGTACAAAACAATTTCACATGTTTTTTCACATTACATGCATCCACAAAGCCTTGAAGAATATTGAGTTATATTTAAGTTAAAGCATTTACTGTTCCTTTTCTCCTGACAAACAACATATATTTTAATTAATTTCTCTCAGTATTTTTAATTTTCAAAAACCTAAACTTTTTTACAACTCTTTTCCCAGTTTCCCCCACTATACACATTGAATGTTTTCCATACACATATTAAATATATTTATATATATAAATATATATGGTGGTATGTGTATAAATACACACATGCACCTACATACACACACATTAACTACACATATATACACTCACAATTCAAAATATTGGAGATGCAATATGATATGTGTCCATGTATTTTGGATCTTCTACATCTATTTCCTCCTGTTGATTCATTATTATAAACTTAAACATAATTCCAATAAATACCTATTCATGAAAGTTAAGTTTATAGAAGAGTGTTTCGGAGGGGCTCGGGCGGCGGCTCCGCGGAGGGGGCTGCGGGGCGGGAGCGCGAATCCACCAGCGCAGGCCCCGGGCACAGGGCGCCGGGACACAGCCCAGGATCCGGCCTCCCCTGGGACAGGCAGAGGCCGGGAGGGCCCAGGACAGCGAGGACGCTCCTGCCCCGAGCTGAGCAGATCAGCGGCCCCGCCCCGGAGCCTCCAGGCCCTGCGGACGGAGAGCCGAGAGCCCGAGCCCCGTAGTTCCTGCGGAGGCTGAATCCAGGCTTCCAGAGTTGCCATAGCAACTGCGGCTGTTCCTCCCTGGGTCCCACGGGGTAAACAACCCCCGCTGAGCCCGGCAGCAGGCAGGGGCAGAGCAGCTCCCCCAAGTGCTAACACCTGAAAACCAGCACAGCAGGCCCCTCCCCCAGAAGACCAGCTGGACGGACCAGTGATACTCCCCCGTGTTCCAATACAACTTGTTTTTGGCCACTCTGCACTGAGCAAAATGACTAGAAGGAAAACCTCACCTCAAAAGAAAGAATCAGAAACAGCCCTCTTTCCCACAGAGTTACAAAATCTGGATTACACTTCAATGTCAGAAAGCCAATTCAGAAGCACCATTATACAGCTACTGGTGGCTCTAGAAAAAAGCATTAAGGCCTCACGAGACTTCATGACTGCAGAATTTAGATCCAATCAGGCAGAAATTAAAAATCAATTGAATGAGATGCAATCCAAACTAGAAGTCCTAACGACGAGGGTTAACGAGGTGGAAGAACGAGTGAGTGACATAGAAGACAAGTTAATGGCAAAGAGGGAAACTGAGGAAAAAAGAGATAAACAATTAAAGAACCATGAAGACAGATTAAGGCAAATGAACGACACTCTGAGGAAGAAAAACCTACGTTTAATTGGGGTTCCCGAGGGCGCCGAAAGGGACAGAGGGCCAGAATATGTATTTGAACAAATCCTAGCTGAAAACTTTCCCAATCTGGGAAGGGAAACAGGCATTCAGATCCAGGAAATAGAGAGATCCCCCCCTAAAATCAATAAAAACCGTTCAACACCTCGACATCTAATAGTGAAGCTTGCAAATTCCAAAGATAAAGAGAAGATCCTTAAGGCAGCAAGAGACAAGAAGTCCCTGACTTTCATGGGGAGGAATATTAGGGTAACAGCAGACCTCTCCACAGAGACCTGGCAGGCCAGAAAGGGCTGGCAGGATATATTCAGGGTCCTAAATGAGAAGAACATGCAACCAAGAATACTTTATCCAGCAAGGCTCTCATTCAAAATGGAAGGAGAGATAAAGAGCTTCCAAGACAGGCAGGAACTGAAAGAATATGTGACCTCCAAACCAGCTCTGCAAGAAATTTTAAGGGGGACTCTTAAAACTCCCCTTTAAGAAGAAGTTCAAGTAACTCTGAACATGAATGGACTTAATGACCCCATCAAAAGGCGCAGAGTTTCAGACTGGATAAAAAAACAGGACCCATCTATTTGCTGTCTACAAGAGACTCATTTTAGACAGAAGGACACCTACAACCTGAAAATAAAAGGTTGGAGAACCATTTACCATTCAAATGGTTCTCAAAATATACCCTAAAAACTACAGAACACTTCTGAAAGAAATTGAGGAAGACACAAAGAGATGGAAAAATATTCCATGCTCATGGATTGGCAGAATTAATATTGTGAAAATGTCAATGTTACCCAGGGCAATTTACACATATAATGCAATCCCTATCAAAATACCATGGACTTTCTTCAGAGACTTAGAACAAATTATTTTAAGATTTGTGTGGAATCAGAAAAGACCCCAAACAGCCAGGGGAATTTTAAAAAAAGAAAACCATATCTGGGGGCATCACAATGCCAGATTTCAGGTTGTACTACAAAGCTGTGTTCATCAAGACAGTGTGGTACTGGCACAAAAACAGACATATAGATCAATGGAACAGAACAGAGAACCCAGAAGTGGACCCTGAACTTTATGCTCAACTAATATACAATAAAGGAGGAAAGACGATCCACTAGAAAAAAAAAATGTATCACATTTATTCATTCACTAAGGAGAAAGTCAACTCATATACTTGACTGAATTTATCTGATCATTTATAAAATCGTTTCATTTGACTATAATACAGGATTATGACACTGAAATAAATTAAAGCATGCCATTATACATGACTCCTAGATCCTTTCTTAAAATGGTGATCCACTAAGACATATGTATAAAGTTTTCTTCAATTGTTTCATTAAAATATACTTTGATGCACAACATTACATAACCAGTGCTAGCTAATAGCTAGGATTGAGTATTAATACTCTGCTAAGTACTTACATGATCTTCTAGCATAAAAATACACACTTCTATGAGAAAGAAAAATAATACATTGAAAATCATTAAAGTTAGGTAGGTATCAATTCAAAGTCATATAGCAAATATACTCAAAGCCAATTCTAGAACCCAAGTCTCTTTGGTTCAAATTTTGCACTCTTTACACATACCACAGTGTCTTGGTGAAGAGGCTAGCAAAGATTCTAGATTATATCTTTTTTTAATTGATGGGGAGGGAGTGACAAGCACATTCTTGAATTAAGTAAGCACTCATGTTCTTAACCTTTCTGCTTTATTAGTTCCAGTATTCCAAACCTATTTTTAAGTAAAATTCACTTTATTGACAAGAAAATCAGTAGCTATTATCCAAATACAATGCTGTGTGAACGAAATCTTGATTTTAAATAAAAAAAAATTACAGGGAAATATTTCTATTTTATTCTCAACCCTGAATCTGCAAGCAGGAAAATACCAAACAGGAAACACACTCGGGAAATTCGGGATGTGTGTGTGGTTTTTAACACTAGTGTGTAACCAGAGAAACACTCCAACTCTAGTTAAGTCAGTTAATCTGACAGAGAAGGAAAATACCAAAATTTTCTCAGGACACCTGTATTACATAGAAATCTGTTAAGTGTCACATTTAAAGTGATGTGTGGTCACATCTAAATGACCTGGAGTTTTGTTCTATAGAGGAGGAAGCAGATACCATCCTTGCAAGCAGAAAGGAATATTGAGGGCTTTGGGCCACCTGATACATGCACCAATTGCTAGAGCTGAATAGAGACAGCAGAGCACAACATTTACAATGATCTCCTAATAGAATCAGAAAAATATATGCTATAATCTTCCTGATTTTTTAAGAAAAAGATGCATATAGTGATTTATATGTAATAATTGCAGAGAGGCAAAACAAAAGGATACCATTTTTAGAAACAAACATTAGCATGAGGTAATAGAAATAAGAAAGAAACTGAAGCAGGAAAACAAGTAACATTCATTTGCAGGTTGTACAGAACTATTATTGGCTGGAAAAAAAGAATTTTTTTCTTTGGTTTCTTACAAAGAACAAAGTCAGAAATTCAGAATATGAAGGAAATATATAGATAAATCAGAGAGAGGAATGATGATGGGCAAGGGAGGAAACAGAGAGAAGTGAGGGAGAAGGAGGGAGGAAGGGACATAGAGAAGAAATATGCAACTAATCAAAATGGTTCACCAGATTTTAGACAGAATCAATGAAAGACAACATCATTAGATATAGTAGGGTGTTTGTAATTCCAAGGCTCAAAAAAATAACTTATAGTCGTTTGGCATTACTAAAATAATTTGTTTTCCCACTATGCTTTTTGAAGTGGAAAAGAGTTGAAGGTACAGTTAGGCCTTTGGGAACTGCCATTATCTGCTGGTGATCTTGTCAATAGTTTGTCAATAGCTTTTACCAATGGGACAGACATTAGTCTTAAGAAGCCAATCAAAACCCAGGACTCAAGAAGGAAATTGCATAGGAGTAAAGGAGTAAAGTATAATGTCTACAATGATTATGACTTAAAAATAAGGCCTCAAGACAAATAATAATTTCTGGAAAATAAATAATGTTAGATTTTTTTTAATATTAAACCACATAAAAATGTATCACATTTATAAAAATATGATTGGGAAGGGTGAAGATTATTGGTGGGTTAAGGTTGGACATTTTTCTTGCTTCAAATAAGAATAAAGAATAAAAATAATAAGAACTTGCTTATTCCTTGACACTGATTGACAATTTTTACTTACGTATGAATTTTGTGAAACTAAAGCAAATAAGAAGAAAGAATAGTATACAAGAACAACAAAT